TAACTCTGATGTATGATTGACATTTATGTACGTATATAGTTACTCACAAGATCGAGCATATATTTACTGACAGCATTTTACTTATTCGATAAAAATAGAACGAACAGTTTTATTATTAACCGAGTTTTGCAATATAGCGTTGTATTTCCACCAAATAATCCATTACATTTATAATATCTTATGCACCTAAATATAGATGCCATGAATTTCTTAATAGTGAAAGCTATGATTGATTCTTCCTATGAAAGCTATGATATTCTTAGATGTAAATGTATATACTTTCTTTTGTACTATCTTAACATCATAATCCTTATTAAATATTCTAGTATGTGTATGGTTTTAGTCGCTACAATCTCTGAACAATTTTAATTCATCATAGTATAGTGTCCATCTGCTTTCATTGGGATTCATAGCTCTTACAATATTTTGCTTAACGAATTTCTTTATACATATAATGTTGCCTTCTGTCTTATTCAAAATCATCGTGCATCATTGTTAACAAACAATATAAAATGGCGATCAAATGTAACCTAGCAATGAAAACAATGAAGTAGACATTAGTAAAAGAATTTTAAGGCGTCATAAAGTGATCTGTACCTTCAATTTTATGATGTCACGATGTATACATTTTTTAATGCATCTTAAGTGTATGATGCGAATTTATTATTAATGTTCTCATCAAATTATTCATTATATGCTAGAAGTATACACCATTTAATATTACACGTGTGATCTTTTTTTTCTTGATTTGTTTGTTATTTTTGAACAAATAAAATTTTTCACGTTGTCATATGTATATTCAATTTTGTGAGTAACTGCATATATAAAATCAAAATTTTTATATTCAGACATACGAATATACAAATACGAACTCTAAAGAAATGCATTTACACCAAGAAAACTATTTTGAATACGAAAAAACCTCGGAATTTTAATATCTCGATAGCTTTGTTCTGGTAAATTATTTAAAAAAACTTAGTGCCGTCATTCTTAAACTTCGATACACAGAAAATGGTATAATCGCAAAGAAATTTATGTCTGGCTTATAAATCGTGTACAGGTTATTCATTTTTTTTCTGAAATTTGTTAAAGTATCGTAAACAAGACAAAACACATTACTTACGTTTGCAGTAAAATATTATAGTTCTTCGAATAATATATCAAAATTGCATTAAATGGCACAAATGTAAACTGTTTATAAACATGTTACACAGTACTGATGTGTATCCGCAAGTAGCGTCAATAATATAGAATGACATTAGATCTTTTTGAACACTTCAAAACATAAACGTTTTAATTCACTACCGAAAAACCACGTGGTAAAAATAAAATACACTGAACCTATACAATCGATGGAAATGTTACATAGCATTTCGTTAAAGATAGCATTGGTAAAGCAATAACAAAGGTAGACGATCAAACACCATCACATTTTTTTAAACTACCAACAGTCACTCTAACGATACATTACATGTTCTGAAATTGACTAGCAACGACAAAATGAGTTCTCACTCCCTGTCTAACCTAAGTCTACACGCACTGAACGTAGAAAGGCAAAACTGTTACACAGCTTTTGCGCGCACATTTTCAAATCTGCAAGGATATTCTCGCTAGTTCCACGAAACTGTTATTAATACAAAATAACTATCAATTCAGACTGGGGATTTTTATGCAAAATATAAATTATCTATACTAATTGCAAGAAACAGGAACTAAATAGCAAGTTCTTTCTTTCCGTAATCATTTTAATTGATTAAGAGTAATACATTGACATTTTCTAATTCTTTTAATATTTTTATTATTTTAAGTAGCAACTATTATTCAACTTTTCCATAAATTCATAAAATCTGCAGTCTGGTTATTAAACACAATCGTTTGAAGATTTTCTGAAATAAGCAGACGTTATTGAAGTTCGAAAGAAAGTTGGAAAATACATACTTTTAAATCATTTATCCAAATAAGGTGATTTACAAAAAACGATACTAGTGAATTAATATATAGAACCCAAAAGGAAATTTTCTCTTTCTTAGATTCTCAAATTTTGCAATACTCTTCGGCCGCGGCGCATTTCATTAGCAAAAATAGGAGTAGAAATTGCTTTGTTTTAATTGGCTGACGATTCAATGCTACTTATATATATACTATATATTATATATATATATATATTACTATATATTATGTACCGTATTACTGTGTGTAGCCAATTGGACTCCTAGAATTATTCTCTAGGTTCCCCATCTTTTTACTTCGCATACTCTATGTACGAACGAACTCAAATTTCTTTTGACAACAGTGATAGGAGATAAGTCGGATAATCTAATAATCAGTGGGTCTTAACGAGTGCAATAACGTTTTACATTTAAAAAATAGCATATGAACCAAGATATACAAATAACAATAAAATTGGGTGCAACTGTTATTTGGAGAATATAATTAAAATGAATTTGCTCCTGGCTTTAAAATTTTACATTGCACGAATGACAGAAGAAAGTGGTCCTGGCATGAAAGTTCTTTTGATGGATAAACAAACGGTAAATTTGTTAATATCTGAAGCAATTGTCACGTTTTAAAAAATTTGTAACGTTTATTACAGACGAGTATAGTAAGTTTGTTATACAGTCAATGGGAAATCTTTATGAAAGAAGTCTTTTTATTCGAAAGAATTGATGCGAACGGTCGGAAAGAAGGATTAAAGCATTTAAAATGTATAGTGTTTATAAGACCGACGAAAGAAAATATTGAACTATTGTGTAATGAATTAAGATGCCCTAGGTACGGAATGTATAATATTTGTAAGTAATAATATAGTGCTTCTATATTTACTCATTTGTTATAACAATTTTTAATATGCAGTATCGAATCTAATTGCACAAACAATATTAATCTTTTAAAATAACGAAAAGCCCTTTAAAATTGTTGGTCTAATATTTAAATTAACAGTTAATTAAAACCTTCATTTAACTCCAGGATATTTTTTCATGAAATATATTTCTATTTCAAAATTAATTGTGTTCCATTTTACTTGTGTTTTTTATTGCTTCTATTTTCTGCTATAATTAATTATAAACACTTTTATAGATTTCAGTAACATTATTGCAAAAGCTGACATTAAGCTCCTGGCTGAAAGTGACGAACAAGAAGTGGTAAAAGAAGTACACGAATATTATGCAGATTATTTAGCTATTAGTCCACATTTATTTTCACTTGGAATCACCGGCTGTTCGCAAGGTAATTTTTTATTGCCCAATTATAATGTTTAAAATTAAAATCCTTCCATTGATATCAGAAACAAATACTAGTCACTTGCATATGTTATAACCAGGATAACATTTAGGACAAAGATGGCTGTCCTTATATATTTTTGTTCCGATATATTTTTAAACTCACTGAAGAGTACTTTCCGCAATTTCTTTTCTTGACAATTAATAGCAGCTTTGAGAATCCAATTTTCTTTTAGGGACTATGCTATCGCAACAGCCATAAGAGAGTAGGTAATTTTTGGAAATATTAAAATGATTAAAGTAATGCAATGTAAGGTGTATTGAAAATACTTCCATACGTATTTCTGAAATTGGATCCAAGTGACAAATTTTTTATGTAAGAAAAATCGTTTAAGGTCGTTAAAATTGGTTAAATTGCCCCTATTTATGCATATAATTATCAAACATTCTTTTAGCTTTTTACTGAATGTAGGAGACGAATATTTTGGTGGCCTGAAAAGTCATGCAGAACTGCCAGGTTTGTTGACTCGAAAGAATAAAGAAGGACCCGTTCTTATTGAAATCTTATTCTTTGAAGATATCGCGAAGCAGGAGTGATTGCTATAAAGATCTAGCAAAAATTTTGTTTTAAGCAAGCAATCAATTTGTCCATACTCGAGCATTGCATTCCTATTTTTATTATTTCTTTATTTACTATAGGATTTGATATTTCTGTATGTTGAGAACATATTTTTACCTATTAGTTTCAATTCCATTATAGGAAACGTTCTACTTAGGAATTTCTTTTCTATGCTTTAAAGTAGATATAGATATACCGATCAAATTTCTTTCTTTTATATGCTGTATTTCATATATTCTACAGGTTTACTATGGAAACCGGAACACTTGCATCGAACTCTCTCAGGCATAATTTCCGTTTTACTATCAATTAAAAAATGTCCTTACATACGCTATCAAAGTAGCTCGGAAATGGCAAAACGACTAGCAGAAAAAGTACGAGAAGTTTTGAGTAAAGAATCAAATTCATTTCTCTTCAGACAAGACTCAAGCCCAATTCTACTTATATTGGATAGAAGGGATGATCCTGTTACACCATTATTGAATCAATGGACATATCAAGCAATGGTTCATGAATTGTTAACTATTAACAACAATCGTGTTAATTTATCACACGTGAAGGGTATCTCAAAGGAATTGAAGGAGGTTGTTCTTAGTGCTGGTCACGAAGAATTTTACGCGAATGTAAATAGATATCTTGGAATATACGTTATTAATGTAATTGTACAACTTTGAAAGCGTGTCAAATACAAGTAAATGATTTTTAACAGAATTTATATTGTAATTTTGGTGAAATTGGGCAAACGATAAAAGAACTGATGGATGAATATCAGAAAAAAGTTAAGAAACATCAAAAAGTGGAAAGCATAAATGATATGAAGACCTTCTTAGAAACTTATCCTATATTTAAAAAACTTTCTGGTACGGTCTCAAAGCATGTGACAGTCATTGGTGAACTTTCATCCATAGTGGAACGTCATCATTTACTACAAGTATCAGAGTTGGAACAAGAACTCAGTTGTCAAAGTGATCATTCGACACAGGTATCTAACAATGTTCTTTTCTTTAGTTCTTTTATTACATTATTCTACAATCTTGAATTTTGCTGCAGCTTCAGAAGATAAAAGATCTTATCAATACTCGACAAATTCGAGAAATTGATATGACGAGATTAGTAATGTTGTACGCATTACATTACGAAAAACAAACAAATAATGACATTAGTGGATTAATCAGCTTAATAAAAAGTAAAGGAGTATCCGACAAAAATATTAAGGTAAGGTAAACAATAATTTGGCCAACAAGCGTTTAACAAAACTTTCGTTCGAAAATCGTTACATTAAGATATACCTTCAATATCATTATTAATTTCTTCGATTTATTTTATGTATTTATATCGTAACTGGCTGGATTATTGAGAGACAAAGTTTTTGTGTATAAAATGTTTGTATAGCAGGAAGTAGAATTTTAATATTAACTTCAAACTTTAATACTAACTTCAAAACAATGTTTTAGCTCATACGCCACATTTTAGAATACAGTGGTATTAATGCAAGGCAGAATAATTTATTTGATCGAGAATCAGTGGCTAAGATTACGAAAAAATTATTCAAAGGCTTAAGTGGCATAGACAACATATATACTCAGCATACTCCATTGTTGCATGAAACACTTGAGGACTTAATAAAAGGAAAGTTAAGCCCACAGGCATTTCCGTATCTTGGAGGCACGATAATATCAAAAAGGTAAACGTGTACTGTTGTGGTATAACAGTAATAAACAACCAATTTTGTTTACAAAATTATTAATTAGATTATTATATTTTCAGACCGCAAGACATAATTGTTTTTATGGTTGGCGGAACAACATATGAAGAAAGTTTGGCCGTATATAATTTGAATAGGCAAAATCCGGGGGTGAAAATTGTTTTAGGTGGTACCAATGTGCATAATTCTCAGAGCTTCTTGGAAGAAGTAGAATCTGCTACATCAGGCATTTTATCAAAGTACAAAAATAATAATAACTAATAGCAACATGTGTATATGTATTTTTTATTAATATATAAATATGTGCAAATCTATGATTACGAATAATTGATGTACTATAAATTATTCTTTTGTAAGTAATGTATTAATAATTATAATATTAAATCGAAATTACAGTAGAAATCAGTCTTTAAAAGACTCCAATACGACTGATTTTTTATTTTATGTTCTAACAGTTTTAGATTTTAATTTTGATTGTCAGCATAATTCTGTCTATGTATTTTAAATACCCAATTGTGCAATGATCCATACTACTCATATTATAGCAGATAG